ATCTGTTTTCCGTTTACTATTGTTCCGTAATTTCAACTTGTAATTGCAATGTATGAATGCCATTCCAAATGATTTTATTAGGCTTAAGCAATGTAATATTAAATAACTAGGTTAAGTCTATCTACATATATTGTAATGAATTAGACTCAAGAGAGCTGTAAGAAATAAATAATTATAATAATAATAATGAAAAAAACTTACGCAAATTCAACATCGATGTGATCCTGATAGAAATCTGGATCATTTTGTGATCAACTCCGTTTATTTTGTTTCCTAATTAAGTGAGGAAATTTTAATTGACAGCATCGACAAATGAATATATCTGTGTTCGTATGGAATAGTAGCTTATGTCGGGAAGTTGGCTATAGTATAATGCGGCATTACCTTTATTCTTGAAGCGACAAGGAATTTTTTGATGTTACTTAATTATTGACTTGCTAGTATCGGAACTATTTCGTGCACGTTTACTGCCAAAAGTTCTTCAACGACTCGGCGCCAGTGAGTCATTCGCAATCGTATGTTGCGAATGCCGCATTATACTAAAGCCAGTCTTTCAACATAAGCTTATATTCCACAGATATACACAAATAAATGTTCGGTTATGGTTAAGACAATTCATGTTTTTGTTTTGAATTTTTGGTTTAAAATTTATTTTTTCCTTTTCAGTAGGGTTTTTTGCACATTATCTTCTGCGTGAGAATTGATCGTAATAGATGCGGATCTGAATAAGCGACTGGAACACGGCTGTTTGTCAAAAGCATACGATTTTGAACTCGCGTAAATGTACATTTGCTGAATGCGATAGCATGAGCGCTTTCCGAAAACAAATGCTCGGAAGTGCTAAATGTTGCATTTTAAATGCAGCAAACGCTGCATTAGAGGCACAACTTATTCATAATGGGACCGAATCGTCACATACGATATCGTATTACTCGGCACGTAAAAACACATTTTTCGGATTATGACATACGTGAAAGTACTCTCTATCCCTTCAGCTTATACGACTGACGGTATCACGTAACTTTCTTTCGTATGGTTTTCGATCCGTGAACGGTATTACGATTCGAGCCCTGGACTCTTATGGAGTTGTAATTCGATGAAATCCATCATATCAGTC